TGAGCATTTACCCAAGTAGATTAATTCCATAAAATTACTGAGACAGTAAACTGGGAGTAGGGAGCATGAGAAAAGGTAAAAGATATTTCAATTTATATTTTCCACAGTTCTATATCACTGAAAACTTGACACTTACAATGTCAAATGGGTACTATATGTAAGAATTGTTATACTTAATTTATAAAGGTAAAAAATTATCTTGCCTCAGAACAACCCTGATTATTAAGGTATAATTGATTGACGCACTGATGGGAAACCTCCAGTTTGCAGTTTAATTTAATTTGTTACAAATATCAAGAGGTAGTATACTCACTGACATCAGGAATTAAAAAACCTCACAATTCTAGTCACTTTAATCCCCTAATCTACTGCCATGTATTCTATATTTACAAGTCTTTCTGCAGAAAAGCATAACAAAATAGTAAAAATTTAAATATGCCATTATTTAAAAAATCAATAGGCTAGGCACAGTGGCTCATGACTGTAATCCTAGCACTTAGGAGGCCAAGGTGGGTGGATCAGTTGAGGTCAGGAGTTCGAGACCAGCCTGGCCAACATGGCAAAACTGGCCAGGCAGGTCAACATGGCAAAACTCCATCTCTACTAAAAATACGAAAATTAGCTGGGCATGGTGGCAGGCGCCTATAATCCCAGCTACACAGGAGGCTGAGGCAGGAGAATCACTTAAAACTCCAGGAGGTGTTTATAGTATTCTCTGATGGTAGTTTGTATTTCTGTGGGGTCGGTGATTTTTAATTGCGTCGATTTGATTCTTCTCTCTTTTCTTCTTTATTAGTCTTGCTAGCGGTCTGTCAATTTTGTTGATCTTTTCAAAAAACCAGCTCCTGGATTCATTGATTTTTTGGAGGGTTTTTTGTGTCTCTATCTCCTTCAGTTCTGCTCTGATCTTAGTTATTTCTTGCCTTCTGCTAGCTTTCGAATGTGTTTGCTCTTGCTTCTCTAGTTCTTTTAATTGTGATGTTAGAGTGTCAATTTTAGATCTTTCCTGCTTTCTCTTGTGGGCATTTAGTGCTATAAATTTCCCTCTACACACTGCTTTAAATGTGTCCCAGAGATTCTGGTATGTTGTATCTTTGTTCTCATTGGTTTCGAAGAACATCTTTATTTCTGCCTTCATTTCGTGATGTACCCAGTAGTCATTCAGGAGCAGGTTGTTCAGTTTCCATGTAGTTGAGCAGTTTTGATTGAGTTTCTTAGTCCTGAGTTCTAGTTTGATTGCACTGTGGTCTGAGAGACAGTTTGTTATAATTTCTGTTCTTGTACATTTGCTGAGGAGTGCTTTACTTCCAATTATGTGGTCAATTTTGGAATAAGTACGATGTGGTGCTGAGAAGAATGTATATTCTGTTGATTTGGGGTGGAGAGTTCTATGGATGTCTATTAGGTCTGCTTGCTGCAGAGATGAGTTCAATTCCTGGATATCCTTGTTAACTTTCTGTCTCGTTGATCTGTCTAATGTTGACAGTGGAGTGTTGAAGTCTCCCATTATTATTGTATGGGAGTCTAAGTCTCTTTGTAAGTCTCTAAGGACTTGCTTTATGAATCTGGGTGCTCCTGTATTGGGTGCATATATATTTAGGATAGTTAGCTCTTCCTGTTGAATTGATCCCTTTACCATTATGTAATGGCCTTCTTTGTCTCTTTTGATCTTTGATGGTTTAAAGTCTGTTTTATCAGAGACTAGTATTGCAACCCCTGCTTTTTTTTGTTCTCCATTTGCTTGGTAGATCTTCCTCCATCCCTTTATTTTGAGCCTATGTATGTCTCTGCGTGTGAGATGGGTCTCCTGAATACAGCAGACTGATGGGTCTTGATTCTTTATCCAGTTTGCCAGTCTGTGTCTTTTAATTGGAGCATTTAGTCCATTTACATTTAAGGTTAATATTGTTATGTGTGAACTTGATCCTGCCATTATGATATTAACTGGTTATTTTGCTCGTTAGGTGATGCAGTTTCTTCCTAGTGATCAATGAGATCACTTGGACTCAGGAAGGGGAACATCACACACCGGGGCCTATCATGGGGAGGGGGGAGGGGGGAGGGATTGCACTGGGAGTTATACCTGATGTAAATGACGAGTTGATGGGTGCAGCACACCAACATGGCACAAGTATACATATGTAACAAACCTGCACGTTATGCACATGTACCCTACAATTTAAAGTATAATAATAATAAATAAATTAAAAAAAAAAAAAACAAAAAAAAACCCCAGGAGGCGGAGGTTGCAGTGAGCCAAGATCACGCCACTGCAAGCCAGCCTGGGTGACAGAGCAAGGCCCTGTCTCAAAAAGAAAAAAAAAAAAAAGAAAAGAAAAATTAATAACATACTGTATAATCTGTAACACAGAATTCTAAGTCAATATCTCAGTCATATATTTCCAATGTAAATGGTTACACAAAAATACCAGCGATTACATAGAAGAGTAGGTAATGAAATGTATCAGAAATACCAGTGATTACATAGAAGAGTAGGTAATGATATACATCAGAAATATATCAGAAATACCAGTGATTACATAGAAGAGTAGATAATCAAATTATCAGAAATATATCTGAAATATGTATTTACATATAAATTGATAAGGAATACCTGAGAGTAAGTCCTTATCTATATTATTTCAGAATATTAGCACTTCCTAGTTATAATCATAAAACATTTATTTTAAATAGAGATTTTTTTGCAATGTATAACTGATTCATTAAAATTCACTCTCAAAGGATGAAACAAAATAACTAGGAATTTGAATGTGTCTGTTTGAGTAATAGAGAGCAAATTAAAGTAAAATAATTTCTCAATACACTGAAATTGTTATGTTGACTTGCTTTTGAGAAAAAGCCCATTTCATCAATGAAGTTAAGGTAGTACCCTGAAATGTCCTACTAAGAAGAAAGTAATACTTCACTATAAAACTATAGTTGTATAGTATGTTTACATGAAAGTATAAAGAAAGAATGTGTGCAGATGTTTTTCTTGTGAAAGTAGTACATGTTCCTACAATACTTCCCCTATAACATGGTCCAAAGAAGTTAATGTCTCTGGACAATGAGAGAAAGAAAAGGCTCTTAACTATAAATATTTGTCATTTTGAACATACTTTCACAAAACTCAGTTTTTCTCTAATAACAGCTGAAAGAAAATTTTAAAATACTAGAAACATGCTCCAGCCTAAAAGGGATGAATAAATATCATCATCATTTTCAATATATCTCAGAGTATCTTTGTTGCAAACAGAATAGTAAAATAAGTGAACCAATATTAAAGCAAGTTACACAGGGTTAGGAATCAGTTCAGCTTCTACGGAATTTCATTTTTCTTATATTTTTTTAAATAGTTAAAGGAAGTATTCTTTATAAGAGATAACCAAATAAAAAACTAAACATATTGATAAACCTTAAGTGTCCTGAGTTAAATATTAGAGAATTACATATATTATAGTCTAAAATTCAGTGACATGAAACTAACTGCCAATTCCTGACTTAATATAAGAGAAAAGATTTTTACATGTTCAGAGGAAATATGTTTTTAATTCAGAATGGTTTGAGATGAAAGATGGATATTTCTATATGACTGATGAAATGATACTTTTCACTATAAATCTACAGTTTTATTAAACAACTTCACTATCTGTTGTCATAAGAACAAGTCTCTAATAGCTTGTCACTAGAATAACTTCACAGAATTGGTGTCTTATAAAGATATTATTCTGTACATCCAACTTAGAATATTCTCGATACATATTTTTTTGCACTCAACTCTCATTTTAAAAACCTGATGTGGAATTTTAAAAGAATAAACTAGTTCAACCATTGTGGAAAACATTGTGGCGATTCCTCATGGATCTAGAACTAGAAATACCATTTGACCCACTGATCCCACTACTGGGGATATACCCAAAGGATTATAAGTCATGCTGCTATAAAGACACATGCACACATATGTTTATTGCAGCATTATTCACAAAAACAAAGACTTGGAATCAACCCAAATGTCCATCAGTGACAGACTGGATTAAGAAAATGTGGCACATATACACCATGGAATACCATGCAGCCATAAAAAAAGGATGAGTTCGTGTCCTTTGTAGCGACATGGATGCAGCTGGAAACCATCATTCTCAGCAAACTATCGCAAGAACAGGAAACCATCATTCTCAGCAAACTATCGCAAGAACAGAAAACCAAACTCCACATGTTCTCACTTATAGGTGGGAACTGAACAATGAGATCACTTGGACACAGGAAGGGGATCATCACACACCGGGTCCTATTGTGGGGGGTTGGGGGGAGCAGGGAGGGATAGCATTAGGAGATATACCTAATGTAAAGAAGAGTTAATGGGTGCAGCACAACATGGCACATGTATACAGATGTAACAAACCTGCATGTTGTGCACATGTACCCTAGAACTTAAAGTATAATAAAAAAAAAAAAGAATATCCAGCCTCAGAAGGGACATTCTCCCTCAAGAAAGTTGTTGAATTAGCTCCTATTTACTGACATAAGAACACGTACACATGTATACATAAACATGCTTACACACACACACACACACACATCCATTGTAAACATTCTCCATTGTTTTACTGGTCCCACTCTAAAGGCATGACATAAATAGAAAGGAAAAGCTGTGTTGTGCAAATTATGGACGAAGGAAGGACGGGAGGGGAGGGGAGGGGAAGTAAGGAAGCATTACAGAGAAAAACTTCTGACTAAACCAATACATATGATACACAGTCCTAAGATGACATAAGTACATAGTAAAAGATCTGTCATAGAGTACAGGTGAACTAGACAAGAGAAAAATTTAGAATAAAATAGAAAATAATCATAATATATATTATTAAAAGGAAAAAAAGACCTATATAATAGGACAGTTTTAGTTTTATCATCATATTAGTTTTATACTCTGCAGTACAAAATATCTTTCCTTAAAAAGAGGTTTTCTGTGATTAAACTTAAGGGTTAATTCATCTTACCTTCCACAGAAGGTGCCTGGTCCTGAGCCGAATACAGCATATCCTTAAAAGCCTATTAGAAAGAAAGAAAAACAATATATGAAATCATGAGTAAGCTTTATACTGAAAGTATCTGAAGCTAAATAGTTCTTTTTCAATATTCAGTGAAGACACATAGTTCCCTAAATTGATAAACACTTCAATTAACATTTATAAACTAAAATCCAAACATTATACCTTCATATCAGTCCAGTATTGTCCAATTTTTAGGATGAGGGCTAACTTGTATACTTTAAAATTAAGGAACAGCTGGAAAAGGATGAAAAATCACCTGAGAGATTATAAACTCTCTTGACTAAGAAAAAACACTGAAGAAAACAGAACAAAAGTCCTAGAGAAAAAAACTAGAAAACTTCATAAGAAACTATCAAGAACTGGACACAAGTATCTTTTTAAAATTGTAGTAAGGTATATGTAACATAAAACTCACCATCTTAACCATATTTAAATGTACAGTTCAATAGTGTTAAGTACATTCACACTGTTGTGCAACCATTCTCCAGAACTCTTTTCATCTTCAATACTTTTTTTAATGAAATTTTATTTTTTATAGCCGGGCGTGGTGATGCACACCTGTAATCCTAGCTACTCAGGAGGCTGAGGTGGGAGATCGCTTGAACCCAGGAGGCGGAAGTTGCAGTAAGTCAAGACTGTGCTACCACACCCCAGCCTGGGAGACAGACACAGAGTGTGCTACCACATCCCAACCTGGGAGACAGGTTAAAATGATGTTCATTTTAACCATCTCAAAAATAAATAAAAAATAAAAATATAATTTTTTTAAGAAATTTTATTTTTAATCCACAAATAATAACTGTTCATATGCCTGGGGTACACAGTGACATTTCAATACATATGGTCTATAGTGATCAGATCAGGGTAATTAGGATATCCATCATGTAAAACACCTATAATTTTTTGTATTGAGAACATTCAATATCCTCCTTCTAGCTATTTGAAACTATATACCATTGTTAACTATAGTCATCCTACACTGGTACAGAACACTAGAATTTACTCCTCCTATCTAGCTGTGTAATTCTGTATCCTTTAACAAATCTCTCCCTATCCTCCCCCCTGCCCTCTTCCCTTCCCAGCCTCTAGTATCCTCTGCACTACTTTTTATTTCTATGAGATCAACTATTCTTAGGCTCCACATGTGAGTGAGAACACGTGGGGTTTAACTTTCTGTTCCTGGCTTATTTCATTTAACCTAATGTCTTCTAGTTCCATTCATGTTGTCACAAATAATAGAATTGCATCCTTCTTATACTGAATAATGTTCCTTTGTGTATATACACCACTTCTTTAGCCATTCATCTGTTGTTGGACACTTAGGTTGATTCCCTAACTTGGCTATTGGCTAGTGTTGCAATAAGAATAGGGTACAGATGTCTCTTTGGTTTACTGACTTCCTTTCCTTTGAATACATGCCCAGTAGTGGCATTGCTGAATCATATCGTATTAATAGTTCTATTTGGGCCGGGCACAGTGCTCACACGCCTGCAATCCCAGCATTTCAGGAGGCCGAGGCGGGCGGATCACGAAGTCAAGAGATCGAGATCATCCTGGCCAACGTGGTGAAACCTCATCTCTACTAAAAATACAAAAATTAGCTGGACATGGTGGCACGTGCCTGTAGTCCCAGCTACTCAGGAGGCTGAGGCAGGAGAATTGCTCGAACCTAGGAGGCAGAGGTTGCAGTGACCCGAGACTGCACCACTGCACTCCAGCCTGGCAACAGAGTGAGACTCCGTCTAAAAAAAAAAATTCTATTTGTAGTTATTTGAGGAATCTCCATACTGTTCTCCATAGTAGCTGTACTAGTTTACATTCCTACCAACAGAGTATAAAACTTACTTTTTCTCTGCATCCTTACTAGCATTTTTATTGCTTTTTTGTTTTGTTTTGTTTTTTGCCATTTTGATAACAGCCTAACTGGGGTGAGATGATACGTTACTGTGGTTATGATTTGCATTTCTTTGATGAAGAGGTGATGTTAAGCATTTTCTTCATTTATTTGTTAGCCACTTGTACATCTTCTTTTGAAAAATGTCTGCTCAGATCACTTGCCCACTTTTAAATCAATTTTTTTTTGCTGTTAAGATGTTTGAGTTGCTTGTATATTCCAGATATTAATCCCCTGTAGTGTGAGTAGTGTGCAAATATTTTCTCTTATTTTATAAGTTCTTTTTTCACTCTGTTGTTTCCTTTGCTGTCCAGGAGCTTTGTAGTTTGACATAACCCCGTTTTTGTTTTTGTTGCCTGTGATTTTAAGTTCTTACTCATGAAATCTTTTCCCAGACCAATGTCCTAAAGCATTTTTCAGTGATGATCTGGAAAGTCTTCCCTAAGGCTTAGGACTATAAAGATAGTATGGTTTATAGTTTTCTTCCCCCCCTCAAAATCACACTCTAGATTAGCTAACAACTGTATTTAGGTAATTTGGATGGCTGCAGTTTAATCTCTCAATAAGTCGTTGGGGAACAGGAACGAGAAATATTTCTCTATATCTATCAAAATGGTAAAAATCAATTCAGTGGATGAGGATATCCACAGTTTCAAAACTTCAAATACCATCTAAACACTGGTGATGCCCATATTGGCCTATAGCAGAATTCCTCAAACTCAGTTAATATTAGCATTTTGGGCCAGATAATTCGTTGTTGCGGGGGCTGCTCTGTGCATTATAGAATTTTTAGTAGCATTCCTGGCATCCAGAGACCCATTAGATAACAGTACCAATCCCCACCCTCCAGCTGTGAAAACTAAACATTGCCGAATGTCCCTTGAAGTCAAAAACGTCCCTCCCCAGAACCAGCACAAATATTCAAGCATATAAATACCATAAAGGAAGAAGTAAACTTTCAGAGTAACCCACTCTTTCAAAGAAAAGAATACAGGTACTCAAGTCCAGTAAATTATATTCTTCCCAAGTGAATTTACTATTTGCTCTATTAGTGGCCGAACTGTCAGATCCATGACTAACCAGGCATAATAATATAGAGTAAAAAATTTCCAATGAAACAAGAGAAATTAAAAATTTTAAATCAATGCATTTTTGTTCATTTTAACCAAAGTTTTATTGAAATACTGGATGTACAAAAATGGAAAATGATGTATGTACAAAATTTTTTAATGTCACATATACTTAAATCCAAAAAATATTCAGTAATATTCACTACTTATACAGAATCTGAAGCAATACAAAAATGCAACTGAGGTATAATAAAAAATTAATATTTGGTCTTTGTGTCCAGTACCTGGCATAGAGCTCCAAAAGCCTTTGGAATGTACTGTCTTTTATATACTAACGAGATAGCTCAATGGGAGGAAGTGGGACAAAGGGTCCTAGATGCTTCATGGTGGCTGGTCACCAAAAAAAATCAAGTGATTAGAGGATTAGAACTTTCAGCCCCACCTCCAGACCTCTGAAGAATGGAGAAGGGTTGAAGATTGAGCTCAATCACTAGTAGAAAAGGATTTAATCAACTGTGCCTGTGTAATGAAACCACCATAAAAACCCTTAAACATCAAGGTTCAGAGAGCTTCCAAGTTAGTGAACACATGAATGTGCAGGCTGTGTGCCATCCCCATCCTAACATCTTGCACTGTGCATCTCTCCATTAGGCTGTTTTTAAGTTGCATCCTCTATAATAAATCTGTAATGGTAAGTACAGTGCTTTCCTAAGTACTGTGGGTAGTTCTAGCAAATTATCAAACCTGGAGGTGGGAATCATGGGAATCCTCAAATTTGCAGAGGCAGGAAGAAACTGAAAACACCTTTGCAAAAACTATAACTTAGAAAATTATTACAGTGCAACAGATCTGACCTAACCAACTCCACCTTGCTTCTAACCTCCAAACTGTCCTTGTTCATTCCAGGGCATAGGCCAAACTAACTTTGGGAGGAACATAGTTTAGAGTTCTACTTTGAAACAAAGACGATATTAACCCTTTCCCAAAACAAACTACCTTCCTGCCTGGAGACTAGACTGTCTTTGTAGTACTAACTAGTCAAAAGATTAGAAATTATGGTTTAGAAGTCATGTAGCTGGAGGTTGCAAGATTCTGAACCTCTTCAAATTGCTCTTGGGGATAACATCACTATTACAAAACTAAGATCACTGCCTGAGACACTTTGCAGACCCTGTCCTCTGAGCTGGCACCACCCAGATCAATAAACTGGCTCATCTGGTATCGTGGTCCCCACTCAGGAACTGACTCAGCACCAAGAGGACAGCTTCGACTTTCTATGATTTCATCTCCAACCTAACCGATCAGCACTCCCGACTCACTGGCCCACTACCTACCAAATTATCCTTATAAACTCCAATCCCCGAATTTTCGGGGAGACTGATTTGAGAAATAATAAAACTCTGGTCTCCCGTGTAGCCAGTTCTATGTGAATTAAACTCTTTCACTATTGCAATTCCCCTGTCATAACAAATTGGCTCTGTCTAGGCAGTGGGCAAGGAGAAACAGTTGGGCGGTTACAAAATGTGGGTAGCCCGGGCATCCCATTTGCAGCTAGCATCTTAAGCAGGGGCAGTCTTATGAAATGGAGCCCTTAAGCTGTGGGATCTGTACTACCTCCAGGTAATCAGTGTCAGAATTGAACTCAATTGTTGGACACCCAGCTAATGTTAGAAATTTGGTTTCTGGTGTCACAAAAAAGATAACACATTTGGTCCCAGAAGTGGTATCATCAAACATCATACTATTCTGTTAAAACCAGAACCCCACCCCTGCCCACAAACAAAAAACACCACACCACAGATTAACCCTGTGGGGAAACCTTTATTAATGGACCACATCTTTTCTTTTATTTATTTATTTTTTTACTTTCAATATGTGAACTTTATGGTATGTGAATTATAACTCAAAGCAGTTATTTTCTTTAAAACATGACAAAGGAAAAAATGTTTCATTTTTAATAAAATAGTTGTTAAGGTCCACAATTAGATTCTGAGTTGTTGTTGTTATTATTATTATTATTATTATTATTATTAT